ACATAAATGTGCCAATGCCGTGGAGAATACTTGGTTTAATATGAATCTTTTAAAATAAAGCAATAATAATCTGTGTGTAATTTAATATGTATAGTGGAAGTATGAATGCCATTAAGATCCAAATGTGCTTCTAAACAGAAATGGTGCTCAATGAACCTTTAGCTTTTCGGCCCATTTTTTCCTTCGTCTGGACTAACTCTAATGGGCAAATATCATTTTTTGCCATTTATCTCTGATAGTTGTACAACTGTATAAAATTTTTATGTTTTAGTATATAACTTACAAAATGTATATATATACAAAAGAATATATAAAAACATAAATATTTTCGGCTATTATTTTGAGAGCAGCTATACAATGTCATTTTTTCAACTCTAAACTCTAATTTGGTTTTTAACAAAAAAGAACTACTCCAAATAGCCTCTCACTGCTTTAATAACTAAAAATAGATGACAAATATATAATACTATATGAATAATCTATATATAATATGTGTATAACAGTAAAACCACTTCTTGGACTTTACCATTGATGTTCAGTAACCATTATTGCCTCACATTATAATACTTTTAATCGTCTTTCGAATATTAATTATATTACTTTGTGCTTAATATTATATTTTAACTGTGTAGAAATAAAGCAATGTGAATATGAAGAGATTTTGAACAAAATTGAATAAAACGCGGAAGAAAAATAATAATAGAAGAATAAATAAAGGAGAAGAAAAAGGGGGAGACCTTTTGGGTTTTGTCCCCCAAGTGGAAGACAAAGGTGAGAAAGAAACTGTCACGACCCACAATCTAATCGTCGTGATGGCACCTATCGTGGAACTAGGCAAGCCACAACTCAACATGTCAACACAGTAAAATCTTTGAACATACGGAAGTAAATTAATAATTAAGGAAAGCCTTTTTGAAAGCAAAAATATCCAAAATACGATACAATTCATCCCAAAATCAGGGTGTCACAGAGTACATGAGCGTCTAAATCAGAATACATTCCACTACAGTGTCTAGAGAAATAAACTAAAAATACAACTAGTGATAAAGAAGGAGAGTCAAGACCTGCGAACGCCGTGCAGCTACCTTGGTAGTCTCTGAACTCTGAAGCCTCAATCAGCAACTGCCGTCGTGACCAGAAACGCCTGGATCTGCACACGAGGTGCAAGGCGTAACGTGAGTACATCCAACTCAGTAAGTAACAAGTCTAAACTTTGGACTGAAAGGTAGTGACGAACTTAACCGGTACAGATAAAATAGAAATAACTATACAGAAGCGTAGGCATGCATTCAAATTAAATAGGCAACTCAAAACAGCAAAGTGAAGCAGATCCGAACAATGTAATGAACATAACTCTGCTATCTGTACATGCCAATGCACATGCTGTATGTGATGCACCATGTTGTCAATCTTATGTGCTCACACTCTAGAATGCTCAACCACTCGGTACTGTATATGGCTCATACAACCCAGGAAAGATCCATCCCGGAACATATACATCACTGACTATAAGTCACCCAATACCGAGGAAGGCCAATCCAACCTTGTGGAGAAGATCCATCTCCAGGTATCAAGTACTTCGGACAAGATCCATGTCCAGGGAAGATCCATCCCTCAATAATATCAATCGCGCTCACTGGGGTGTGTACAGACTCCGGAGGGGCTCCTATAGCCCAAGCGCTATCATAAAATTCGTATAACCGCTACAGCGTGCAGCCCGATCCCATAACTGTCACTCATAATCAGGCTCTCAGCCTCATTCAATCATCAATCTCTACAGTCTCACTCACGGGATCACAATATCATGAAAACTAGCCCGAAACAATGATGTGATGTATCAATAATTAACAACTGAGACTGAGATATGATATGAAATGTATGAACATAACTGAGTACATAATATCAATGAAATCACTGAGATGACAACAAGAAACGGCCACTAGGGGTCCCATCAGTACCGGCATAAAGCCTAAACATGATATCTAGCATGATTGACAACTCAATTAATTTATCACATGATAAAAATACGGATATCAACAAGATAGAGTCACTATACAGTGCCATGGAATCAATCAGGCCACAATTCTCACGGTGCACGCCCGTCACTTGGCAAGTGCGTCACCTCAATACCAATCACAGAATACATAATTCGGGGTTTCGAACCCTCTGAACCAAGTTTGAAAGCGTTACTTACCTCAAACCGAGCAAGTCTCTACTTCGAAATGCCTTTGCCTCTCAAGTCGATCTCCAAATATCCCGAATCTAGCCACAAGCAGTACAATACAATCAATATAGGCTAAACGGATCAATTCCACAAGAAAAGTACTAAATCATAGCCAAAAATCCGAAATCGGCTCAAACCTGACCCCTGGGACCACGTCTCAAAATCCGACAAAAGTCACAAAACCCGAAAGTCCATTCACTCACTAGTTTAACCTTACCAAATTTATCAAAATCCAACATCAAATGGTTATTCAAATCCCCAAAACTCACTTTCCAAATCTCTAGCCTCAAACCGCCAAATTTCACCTCAATACCACAAAATCTAAGGGGGAAAAATAATGGGGAAACAAGATTTATGATAAAAAAAAACGAGTACAAGAAGATTACCTCAATAATCTTCTCGAAACTCCTCTCCAAAATCGACGAGTACAAGAAGATTACCTCAATAATCTTCTCGAAACTCCTCTCCAAAATCGCCTAAGTTGAGTCCACAATGTTGAAATGAAGCCAATTCGCGAACCCTTGCTTTTTATATGTTCTGCCCAGGCTTTTCGCACCTGCGGCCTTATTTCTGCACCTGCGGAACCGCTTCTGTGTAAAAATAACCGCACATGCAAAACCTACTAAAAACACTGGGCTCGCACCTGCGCTCCAGGTCTCGCACCTGCGGCCCTTCGCCCGCTTCTGCGGAAATGCCCAAACTTTCTCTTTTCTCTTCTGCGGCCTATCCTCGCATCTGCGGACTCGCATATATGCATCCTTTCTCGCACCTGCGCCCCCGCCCTTCCTGTCCTTACCCGCATCTGCAGCCTCCTCTTCGCTTCTCTCCACACCCGTGGTTCCCCACTCGAAGGTGCGATTACACCAGCAAGAACAACACTCAGCTATCCTTCAACATTAATCTTTGATCCGTTAACCACCCGAAATCAACTCGAGGCCCCCGGGACCTCAACCAAGAGTACCAACAAGTCTTATAACCCAATACGAACTTAGACGAACCCTCAAATCACCCCAAACAACATCAAAAATACGGATTACACCCGGATTCAAGCCTAATGAACTTATAAACTTCCAAATTCCACAAACGACAGTGAAACCTAGCAAACCACGTCCGATTGACCTCAAATTTTGCACACAAGTCATATTCAACATTACAAACCTACTCCAACTTTCGAAATCGGAATTCGACCCCAATATCAAAAAGTCCACTTTCGGTCAAAATCTCCAAAAATTCGACTTTCGCCATTTCAAGCCTAAATCAGCTACAGACCTCAATTTCACACAAGACACACTCCCTAGTCCAAAATCACCCAACGGAGCTAACGAAACTGACAGAACTCCATTCCAGAGTCGTCTTCACACAGTTCCGACTAAGGTCAAATCCTAAGACTTAAGCTTCCGTTTTAGGGACTACGTGTCCCAAAACACTCCGAAACCAAAAACAAGACCCCCGGCAAGTCACATAAGAAGAAACAGATATGGGAAAAGCAGAAAATATGGGAACGAGGCTACAAGTCTTGAGACGATCGGCCGGGTCGTCATATCCTCCCCCTCTTAAATAAACGTTCGTCCTCGAACGAGTATAGAGACATACCTGAAGTGGTGAAAAGATGAGGATAACTGCTGCGCATATCATGCTCGGTCTCCCAAGTCACCTCCTCGACCGACTGACCCCTCCACTGAACTATCACAGAAACAATATTCTTCGACCTCAGCTTTCGAACCTGCCTATCCAAGATCGCCACCGACTCCTCAACATAAGATAAATCCTTGTCCAACTGGACTGAGCTAAAATCTAACACGTGAGACGGATCACCGTGATACTTCTGGAGCATAGAAACATGGAATACTGGATGAACTCCTGCTAGATTGGGAGGCAAGGCAAGATCATAAGCAACCTCCCTAACACGTCGCAACACCTAAAATGGGCCGATAAACCTCGGGCTCAGCTTTCCCTTCTTTACGAACCTCATAACACCCTTCATGGGTGACACTCGGAGAAAGACCCGCTCTCCAAACATGAATGCAACATCGCAAACCTTTCGATCTGCATAACTCTTCTGTATGGAATAGGCTGTGCGTAGTCTATCCTGAATCACCCTAACATTCTCTAGAGCATCCCGAACCAAGTCTGTACCCAATAATCTAGCCTCGCCCGACTCGAACCAACCCACTAGAGACCTACATTGCCTACCATACAGAGCCTCATACGGTGCCATATCGATGCTCGACTGATAACTTTTGTTGTAAGCAAACTCCGCTAGAGGCAAGAATAGATCCCACGAAGCCCCAAACTCCATCACACACGCACAGAGCACATCCTCTAATATCTGAATAGTGTGCTCAGACTGTCTGTCCGTCTGAGGGTGAAATATTATGCTGAACTCCACTCGAGTACCCAACTCATACTGCACGACCCTCCAGAATCGTGATGTAAACTACGTGCCCCGGTCTGAGATGATAGATACCGGTACGCCATGAAGCCTTACGATATCGCAGATATTCACTCGAGCCAGCTGCTCGGAAGAATAGGTAGTCATCACAGGAATGAAATGAGTTGACTTGGTCAACT